GTCTCATTCCCTGAAGGTATTTGTTTATAGCTAAGAGGTTTTCATAACATTGCCCCATGTGTGTGCTCCGTGCCATTCGTGGCTATATTTGGAGCAAAGGTAAACACTCATAGACAAATATCCTCTGTCAAACTTATATATAAATATACTTGTGGATATAGTCCCACTCTGCCTTCTACATCTGTTCAGCCTGCATGTCTATTCATGCATCTACTCATAGATCACCATCATAGCAAACTTATCTATATAACAGAATTTATCTCTGGTGCTATAACTCTTACCCTCCTCCCATTGTCTTCCCCTGCCCCCGTAATTTTTTTTGCTAGCCTCCCCCTGATTGTACGTTGCCTTCTCTTTCAAACAAGTTACCATGTGTCTAAGCTCTAGAGGCTATAAATCTTTATGCAAATGGACTACCTCATCTTTCTCTCTCAGAGGAGTGGGATCAGCCACTGACCTTTTAGTTAGCAGCCCAATGCTTAACCCACTGTGTCACCTGGACTTGCAAACAAATCAGGGGTATATAAGCAAAAATAAAACACCCCTTCTCTCCTAAGCAACATGAACCACTATCCAAAGATTATTTTTCTAGATGATTTTGCTCTGCTGGCAGCAGATTTAATACCGCTCTCTCGCTCACTCTCTCTCTAACAAAACAAAGGGTGATTCATATTGTCCTGCAGTTTTCCTTCTTACTCAACAGTATATGGGACAACCTTTACAAGATAACATTTTATTTTAATTAGCTTGACCTAGTGGTGTAGTGGGGTATGGGTAGAGCTCCTAACCACAAGATTAGCAGTTTAAATGCACTAGCTACTCTGAGAGAGAAAGATTCATAACTTTCTACTCCCATAAGGATTTACAGCCTCAGAAAACCACAGGAACAATTCTCCTCTGTCCTGAAGGGTCGCTATGAGTCAGAATAGGCTTGGTGGCAGCAAGTTTGGTTTTGAGTTATGATCCAGTTAATAGATGTTTGGTTGGTTTTGATAAGGATTAAAGAGTCAGTCCACTAAGAAGATGTAACAATAATAATATGCATGCATCCAATTATAGAGCTCCAAAATACATAAAATAAATTCCAACAGAACTAAAAAGAGAAATAAATAAGTTCTACTTTTTAATTTATTGTGCACTTCTAATTCAGGAGGTGAAATGAAATAGCACAGTTAAAGTATCTTAACATTTAAATATCAATCCTTCAATATAGACATAAAACAGTCTGTATTAAAGTTCTTGACAAGTGGATTCAATTTTGAACATAATTGGAGAGAAGTTCATCAAAAAGAAGATTATAAGGTGGTTTTACCAAAAACATTGCTTCACTTATATATTTTAAGGACATTGAAATCTATTTCCCTGTACTTGAGAAACCCCCAAAGAGGAGAGCCCCCCCACACACACACACACCCCTTCCCAAACAGGGGAAAGAAAGAAGAAAGAAAAAAACCCACACAAACCTAAATGAGGCCTAATTGAGGTCAATATCCTACATAATGATAATACCTTACTTAAAAAAAAAAATACCTTACTTTCAAATATATCATTAGAGGAAAGGCATTTTCTATTTCCATTGAGTCATGAGCCCAAACAGATCTTAATAACTTTTAACACAGTTGTCAGTTAGTATTCAGGGTACAGAGGTCTTTTCAATCTGCTGCTTTGGTTTAACTGGCTGCAGTGGCTTTAGAGTTATTTGGGGATGTGAAAATTTTTTACTTATTCTGGCTCTCTCTTGATGAAGGGAGTCATCATCGTCGCTATCATGTTACGATGTGTGTTCTTGTGAGTAAGTTGAGCCACCTCTGGGCCACTGAACCAGAGTGAGTTGGCCCCCAACAGTGAACAGACTAAATGATAGCTTTAGTCCAAGAATATGGAAACTGACAACAAATTATTGCTTGTGGTCTACTTCCAGTTTTCAAGTGCAAACATACCGAAGTTTATTTTAAATTTGAGCCAGTCAGACATTTAGTAATAGACATCAAAGAAGAAGTGAAGGCTTCCCATGTTTATTATTTCAATATGATGTCTGTTCTAATAAAGCAGAAGAATGCATATGATAGACCATGTAGTAGGAATTCTCTAGTTCCATAGTTTGGCCTTAAATATATACATCTATTTGTAAATTAATCCAAAACACATTGCCAGAGTTCCAATTCCTCTGAAAGCTGATTGTTTTCCGTCCCTTTTTAAATTTTAGAAATATAGTGGCCGGCTGCCAGAACACTTGCAGATACACAGTCCACTCCATGTATAAAAGGGGCATAGAATCACGAATGTTCGAAAACCACAGAACGTTATTCAAATAAGGATATCATGGTCTTCCCTATTAATTAAAAAAAAAGAGCCATCTGTGCAAGGTGAATTTTGGTAAGAACCCAATTTTTAAAAAATGATTATGGATGAAATTTGCAACTGCTTTCATAGTGAAAGTACAGCTCCGGGATTCCCAAGATTGCACTGTTTGTGTAATTCTGTGGTCATTTGATTAAATTTCTAATAAAACATTGGAAAGAATTCTTGTCAATCAAATTTACAATCACACTGAAAGGAGGTGGTTCTGTTGCAGTG